TAACAAGAGATATCAAACATAGAATGATAGATGGTAATATTAAGTTGGAAAATCATACTCAAATGCTAATTGCATGTACAGTAAGTCAAGTAAAACCAAGGACATTATACAGGTAATTCGATAACGTGGCTATATACACACCCGGTGTGTATAGAAAATCTATTTGTCTTTTTATATACACACCCGGTGTGTATATAAAATCTATGTCTTTTATATACACACCAGGTGTGTATATAAAATCTATTTGTCTTTTATATACACACCCGGTGTGTATATAAAATCTATTTGTCTTTTATATACACAGCCGGTGTGTATATAAAATCTATTTGTCTTTTATATACATAACCGGAAAGTTGATAGGGCAGACATTCGAATGATCTGTCGCCGGTGGGTTATCCAGAGTCACCAAAGAGACCGGGGCGAACCCCGGGTTGGTCTTGGTCTGATAAATGCACGCCAGACCGTGAGGTCGGCACTTCTTCCGCATGTATTAGCTCTAGAATTACCACTGTTATCCATGTAGGATGTGACGATCAAAGGAACCATAACTGATTTAATGAGCCATTCGCAGTTTCACTGAGACAGTTTAAACTTGCACGTGCATGGCTTAATTGTCTATACTATTACTAAAGTGCGACATTACGTCTTCCATGGTCTACAAAAGAGAAGTCAAACCCTTCAGACATAGTTTTAGACATAGCTATAGTTTCAGACTATTACCCTTCCGGGCAGGAACTTGCAATAAACTTTATCAGTAACTAAATGTAGTAGTCTAGTCCCAATAAATTTCTGAGATACTGATGAAATTCTCTCAAGTTTATTATGAACAAACTTGGAAGACTATTATCATTACCACGTCAAAGTCAACGTACATTTACTTTGATCATGCTCATGGTGTACATTAACAGTTAACACATCCAGGGGTCTCTCACTAATTGGATGATGAAAATTCTGTGAATTTTCATGGAAATACTAAGAAAAAACCCTGATTTTGAAAATTTTGGGAAGAATTCTAGGATTTGGGGGAGAGAGGGAACTGCTTCATAATATTTGCTTGGGGAGAGCCCTGCACATAATTTCCCGCCAGTCCTGAATAGTCATAAATTTGCCCTCCTCCCCACTACATGCACCACAGGCTTGGTCTGGCCAAGGATTGTGGCTAGTATGGCTTCAAGAGTGACTTAACTAGCCAAGGGAAATTCCTGAGCTACAATGAGAAAAAAATCGATGTATACTCACGACTGATTTGGCCGGATTCCCCACCCTGTCTGGCGCGGCTTCCCGTAATGAATACATCCAAACTTCACCGCTCTATAAACATGAGCACACGGAAACTTTTGGACGCCTTCAGGTAATTTCCTGTTCTCAGTTTCCACCTTTTTGCTACTGATCTTACTGAGCTCAGCGTGTGTTGTTTCTTGAAAGTTGTCCAGTGCTGCCTTAAACTCTGCCCAAGTGAGAAATTCGTCCCCTAACTTCAGTAGGGACGGCGCGGCAGCCATGTTGGCGCGAGAGACCAGGCCTGCGGGAGGTGTATATAGCCACGGTGCCTGAAGTGCAATGGTCTACCCCTCGGTCTGCCCCTCAATAGAGGCTTTTCATTGACGTCATGATAATTACCATTTGAATCCCGGTGACCAGGTGTTGGCGGGTAGATTGATTAAGTAGCAGCATGTTGGCATGTTTAACAGACATCACTGTACTCCAACATGGCGCTAGTGAAAAGCCTGTATAATAGTAACGTTACCTACTTTGTTCTTTGACATGGCTCCTTGCTGTTGTTGGGATGATGCACCATTCATGACTTAACTTTGGCCTGTAGAAATGCTTCTACCACTAAACATTGTCCTGTGTGAACTTGTTGTTGTTGTGAACCTTCCCGTGTCTGCGGCTCTCACGTGTAACCTTTGACATCCCCGTGGCCTCCGTGGCCTTGCTTTGGCAAATTTCGTTCATGATAGTCACGTGATTAGCATGAGCACCACATTGTATAAACGTTCTCTTCAAGGAATAACCTTTGCTGCATTTACAAGTACGCCGCGTGGCATCTAAAAATACATACTTGATTGTAATATGTACTCATCTGACTCATAATCTGTCCCGATTTGTCAGTTTTCCGCTGGAAAGTTCTGTAGAACCTTCACGAGATTTTGCGAGAGTTGAGTTGGAGAGAAGGCCATCATGGCGTCCTCTGTCCTGTGGAGGACGTTAGGTCGGACCAAACTTCTGCCTTCTCACTCCTTAGGACGCTCGGCAGGCCACGCAGAATGGTACAGGAATTTCTGGGGGACGACCAGAGTATTTGGTGGGTAGTTTCCTCGTCTGGAGTCCTTTATTGCACGTACAGATGTTTTTTTCTTTGTAGGAGGAGGGGCAAGATTTCACACTCTGACATACATACATTTGTACATTCTTACATCATCCTAGAAGTTAAACATCAATCTAAGTAAGAAACATTAACCACGATCATTTTGTCGTCAAGGATTTAAACCAGTCATACTTTGTAAGCACTTTGTAACTCGCATTCTCTACTCCTGGATCTCAAAATGTACGTTGCTGTATGCTGGAAAAAAAAAGTTGAAAAAAAAACTTGTTTCTATGTGTTTAATATATATAAGAATCTAGCCGTGGACGACTCTGGTACACCTTTTTGCATGATAATGCCGGTGTTCACTCTGGTACACCTTTTTGCATGATAATGCCGGTGTTCACCAGCATTATCATGCAAAAAGGTGTACCAGAGTCGTCCACGGCTAATAAGAATCATGCATCTACTGTAATCTGTGTTTAGGTGTGGCTCCCATAAAGCTGCACATGCCGGCCCTGTCTCCTACCATGGAGGACGGTACCATCATCTCATGGCTGAAACAAGAAGGTTTGTCACACATATGACATGTAACGCTACATGTTATACATGTGGTTGAATATACATGTATATTTAATATTAGTACTGCTGCTTCAGCATGTCACAGCAGCCTCATAAATTAATAAATGATTATTGGCCAAAGTCTGTCAGAAATTTAACTATCTTTTATTTTTTGGCACTGTGGTTCAACTTATTTTATATTGTAAAATCCTGATACGATCATGTTTTACATGTTAAATTGCATCTGTTAACATATTGGGCTTCTTATGGATCCATGGCTTTATACATCATAGGAGACCCAGTGGCAGCTGGTGATGCACTATGTGAGATTGAGACAGACAAGGCAACTCTCACAATGGATGCTGATGATGATGGAGTTATGGCCAAAATATTGGTAAGTTTTGTCAAACAATCTCTGAATGTAGTTATTATGATAGGTGAGCAGTGCAGTGGTGAAGTGGGTTGTTTTTCTTGTTGTAGTCTGTTGTAAATTCTTTCTGTAGTAAATGTAGCTCACCATCTTTTTCATAACAGGAATTCATTGCAGACATGTTATCAGTACTCTCATCTGCTGAATAAACATACGGGTACGTTTATTTTTTTGGGCCCTAACATCCACCCAGTACGTTCTTATTTTGCACAGTACGTTTATTAATTTTTTGAAAACCAGTAATTTTTTTCAACTTCGTGTGAAAAAAATTGACAAATCATCGACGTGAAGACGTTTATAAACGCGTATTGTAGCGAGAAACTTGTCATTTTTGGGCCGGTTTTTGCAATCACCGCGTGCATAAATTCGTCTGAATGTTCTATTGTCATGGGTGGTGCTTATCAAAATACGAAATATTAAATGCCCCTTTTTTTTGTCTATTTCAATTCCTAATTGCAAATAACAGTTAAAGATTTGCGTATATATCAGTAGGGGCGCATTTTAGTACAAGAGACACAGGTTACCCGTCAATTTTGGTAATTTTCCGGGGGGTACGTTTATTCCGGGGGTATGTTTATTTGATTTTGAAGATTTGTCCGGGGGTACGTTTATTCCGGGGGGGGGTATTTATTCGGCAGATGAGAGTACAGGCATGACAAGTAATCATGTATGGCTAGTGTTAGAATGTGGACCAGGGATTGTAGTTTTTCTAGACTTTCCATACTTTCTGTTACCTGGC